TTCCAAAAAGAACGGATAAAACAGAACTCACTAGACTGAGCAGAAAAAAAGGGGAGGGAGAGAGAGAGAGAGAGAGAGATAAACTAAACAACTCATTGAAATTCTCTCAAATCAGAACCACTAGAACCACAAAACTAAACAAACAACCAATGAGACCTAATTCGAGCGAAAATTTTGAAATTAAGGGCTTTCGCAAAAAACACCTGAACTTACACACGAATTTCTCTCGGGATAAATATTCAGAAAACTAAATAAACTGCAAATATGCTAAAAGCGAGCAAAACATACCGGCATTGATCGATCGGCACTGAAAAGAGATCGAGTTCCAGCAACGAAGAACAAAAACAAATATTAAGTTAGGTTTTTTTTTTTACTTTCAGAGAGAGAAAGTACAAAGTACCATACGAGGCTTGAAGCTGTCGCCGTGGAGATTCTTGAGAGAGAGAGAGAGAGAGAGAGAGAGAGATGAGGGACCCGCAACAATTTAGGGGTAGCGTTAGAGGAGGGACAGTGACTCTACTTTTCTGTTTTCAGGGACCCTTCAAATTGGGGAGGGGAAATTAGTTTTCGCCAGGGTTTGTAGAGGACTTTTTTTTTGTCCTTCCAAAAGTATACTTATGTTTTCACTTTCTCGAATATAAGCACAAGATAAATACATAATTAATTAAGTCAATTTGATGTATAACCTAAATATATTTCTCGATAATCAAAATTATTTTATTATACAAAATCAAAAAATAGATTAAATTATATTTGAAATATCTAAATCATATCTAAATTTTAGATATTAGATAAGAACATTAATGATATAAAATGTCCACATATTATACTTAAGAATACAAATTAATCTCACGTTGGAAACTATCATACATTATTATTTCTCATTTAGTCCAAATCTTTAATTCTCATTCTCTCTACAACGAAAAACTCGATGGGTAAATTTAATTTTTTATTATAATGAATGACAAAGTATAAAATTATTTTTTATAAATTCTCTTTTTACTAAGATAGTTTAATACTCATTTTTTTATTTTATACGAACCATCAACTTCAAAACATTATTTATATGTGTATGGACTTTAAGATTTGTAAACATTAAATTTAAGATTGAACAAATCAAAAATTATTACAAATATATGATGATACTTTAAAATAATGATAGTTTATATAAAAGAAAATATATATATATTCAAAAATCACGTAAATTTTACAATGAGGTTAAACTACATAAGGTAAAATTCTTATTCATGACAACATTGATATTATTATTTTGTTTTTTGTTATTTTAATTTAATTTTTGACAAACTTTAATTTTGATATGCACAATTAAAATAAATTTAAATATTAAAAAAAAATGTTATGACAACATCAATTATAAAAACCTTAACATTTTAACTATTATATTTTACTTCTAAATTTTGTAATTTGTTAAATAGAATCTTTAAACCATTTTAAAAAAAAAGTTACAAAAACATCACTAAAGTTTACCATATTTACAAAAGAACATCATATTGAAATTCTACAAAAACATAATTGAAGTAAAATTGAATGTCAACAAAAGTATATTTATATTTAAAATAAAATCTATATTTTGACATTTTTTATTTTTTTTTACCTTTTTTTTTTCCTAAAAGCCATCTATCTCCTTGTTAAGTTCTAATGTATAGTCCATTTGAACCTTTTGTGATGTTATAAAGTACCCAAAAAATAAGAGCTCGTACATAAAAAATGCCTAAATGCTTAGAAGATTGATTAAACATATATATATTTATAGAATAAATAAATAACAAAGCAAAATCAATTAAAGATACAAACTTTTCAAATGAATAAAATTTCGCTGACAATCAAATAAATATATTAAAATTACAATTGAACTCTATAAATTATAAATATGATTAAAAAATTAAAAAAAAAAGTTAAAATTTTTAACTCCATCACATCGAAAAAGTTTATTTTTTTATGTCAAATTTATTTTTGTGAGTCTTTAAAATTTTAAAAAAATAAAAGTAGAAGTCTGATTTTTTTCTTGCAAATAGCACAATCAAGTCAATGTTGAAAAATCATCTATAAATGTAGCATAAAATTAAGAACCTTAATTTGATATAATGAGAACTGAACTAAAAGTTCAAAATGTACTTGTTAATAATTTTTTTTCTTCAAATAGCACAATCAAGCGAATATTGAGAAATCATATTAAATGTAGTTTAAAATTAAGAACGTTGATTTGATATAACGAGAACTGGATTAAAAGTTCAAAATGCACATATTATAAATAATAGTTATAAATATTTAAGTTTAACATTTTTTCATACTTTTTTTAAATCGTCAATTATTACAAGTAGATGACTTATCTCAATAATTAGTAACATTAACAGTTATTTAAAAAAAAAATTTATTTCAACATTCAAGATGTTGATGCTACAAAGACAATGAGTTATCCTTCCTTTGTTGCTAATGAAGTTTATTGACAACTCATATTGAAAAAATAGCATTGTTTTTAATTTTATTTATTTTTTATTGGTCTTTTTATTAATCCTTACTAGTAACTTATATCGTGAAAATTTAACCGTGCAAGTTGTTTGTCAATACTTTACTAATTAAAATCGTGGCTTAATTTAGTTTAAGAACAACGATAATATTTTTTTAACTTAACATTTACTTCATGTTTTTTATGCATGTGTAATATCAAATTTGTTTACATCAACAATATGAAAGCATCATTCTCTCCATATAATTTTATATTAGATTGTATATCTACATTATTGGTCATGTGTGTCATTATTCTCTGAGTCCATATGAAGATAAGGATCATCAGTGTCCAAGGTGAGAGTTTTTAAAGTTTATGATATATATTTTGATTGATAACAATTATCAAACATATACTAATAATTAAGAGTAAAATATTTTCTCATAAATTTAACATATTAGTTTGTCGCTTTTTTGTTGATGTTGTCTGGCTTCTTTTGTCATTCATGATTAATTTTACTTGAATCTGTATTATGACGAATAATTGGTGGGGAACCTTTATTGTTCAAATTAAAGCCTCATCGATTTTCTCTTCTGCTTATGTCATGCCTATGTTGGCTAAGGAGTATTTGTTTATGTCCGATAAAACTTTTTTTTTTTATTTTTTATAAGAAGTGATATTTTAATTACATTTATAAAAAACAAATATAAATTTGTTAAATGTAGGGTAAAGAGGTTTAATTACCATAATCAAATGAAATTATTTATATTAAGCTTTTAGACAACATACAAAATTAAAAATATTATTTAGATCATCATTGATCTCTGGATGGCAGTAAGAATATCACAAATCTAGTTGAATTTTTTTTTATATAATTATCTAAGCTTTTAATTATTTATTGATGATTACCAACATATTTTTCAAAACTCCTTCATTTTCAATATTAGTGTAAAATAATTATTATTCAAATGAATTCTATTATGTTACATAATAGGTAGTAACATATTTTATAATAGATTATTATATTTTCTTATTTTTTCGTATCAAGTAACCATAAAATAAGAAGATCATCATTTATTAAACACAAGGTATAAGCTGGGTTTACAATTCCATCTTTCTACAAGGCTTATGGTTTGCCACCATTATTTCTAAACGATGAAGCAAACTAAGACCATGAGAAAGATGAAAGATTTATGATTACAACATGAGATAGTTGTTGAAGCCTAATTTGATTGATATCAAATTGGTATATTAATGATAATTGTACTTTAAATTTTGATTTTTTTTATGATTAACGTTCAAATACAATAAAAATATATATAAGAATGAATAGTTAAAATATTATAATAGAATTAAGTCACTAATTTTAGGCGCGAGTTCCTAATTTAATTATGATAATTCTCTTCATGATTTTTATTGAAGATTTTTTTCTTAAAATCATCCTCTTAATATTTAGCATTTTTTTTTCTTGCAATCATCCTCTTGAATTTGAGCAAAAATTATTTCATTTGAAGAATTTGTTTCTTTGATTGATTTTGTTTCTTTACTAAAAACTACATTTTGTAAACTATTATTTTATGTGCTCGACATAATCAATTTTAAAAAGATAAAAGAAGGTTTGAGATGTAATAACATAAAATATAACATAATATTGATGTAAACATTAAAAAAATAATAAAACAATGATTTCTTTTACTTTTAATAATTTTAAATTATGAATTTTTTCTTAAGTTTAAGTGATAGATTAATGTACTTTAGATAATAATCATATTTATTATAAAATTATAAAAATTAATAGAAAATTTAACTGAATAGATAATAATATGGTAAAATGTATAATGTTTTACAAAATAAAATATATTATTTTGTTCTAAAAGACAAAGTAATTTGTGTAATATAGGGGGGTCTTGTAAGATAAAATATAATTTATTTATAATACCATAAAAATATACATTGGAAACGATGGAGAGGGGGTTATTGCCTCTTTCCTCCTTATTCTGCAGCTGTCCGTGTATAACTTAATTTTAATTATATTATAAATCATTTAATATTAATACGCTAAAACTAATCCGAAATAAATCAATGGTGACTAATATAACCTCAAATAGATAATAATGAATTATTATTTCAATCCAACAACTCTAATTTAAAGGGTCCAATCCTCTTAAGATGAGATCGTAAATATCTTCTTCTATAAATTATTGAGTTAAAAAATTTAAATTTAATGTACGAAAAATAATAAAATGCTACAAGTAACTAATAAAATATTATCAACTTTAGACCAAAATGGTCTAAAAATAAAAAAAATAGGGATACTGTAAGTATAACCGTGTTTTAATTGTTAAAATTATAATTTTTATTTTTAATATCTGATATATTTTTAATTAATGAATGATTAGTGTATATTTGGAGGTCCGAATCTTATTTGCCCAATCTGACGTAGCGTGCAGCACCAAGTGGGCCCAACGGAGTGACGCCGCATCCGCAACTCCAACTATTCTATGATACCTTCTTATTGCCTTCAAGAAAAAAATCCAAAATAACACACTCATCATTTCTGCATTTCTAATCAGAGGAGTCCAATCTACAGTCCATATTTCATCCTCTCATGGCATTGTCAAATTTCCTCTTCTCTTCTTCTTCTTCTTCTTCTTCTTCCTTAACTATCAGTCGATCGAGGATTTTCTATTCGCATTTTGATTCTCAGGTCTCTCCTCATTGCTCGATGCCTAATGCTTTATCTGCTACTCGCCACAGGTTCTCCAATTATGGGATCAGTTTCTCCATAAAAAGGTTAGCCATCTGCATATCTTAATTCTTTGTTTTTTTTCCCGAGAATTGATAAGGAAATTATTTCATCGGTGGCTTTTGGGGCTTTGTCTTTGTATTGCTGTGCTTGACACTGCGGTTTTATATGTTCACTTGTTGAACTTTTCTTTTTTAACGTCTAAAGTTCGGACTCTGAGCCATTTATCAGTGCTGACACGTACTGACTATGTTTTTCTTGTGAATCTGGTTTTTGGAGTTTGATTCTTCTTCGGAATCTTGAATTTTATGGGAAACTGTTTTCTATTTGGTTGCTGAAGAGGAAAGCGGAGAGAAAAATCCAAATTAGAGACATTATTAAAATGTTAGATGCTTCAATTGGAGTTCGGTCAATTGAAAACTTTTGTAGTTGCATACTCCTATACACTAAAAGGTGATATTCATGGTCAGCGTTAAGATCCATTATTTCTGATATTTGTATGATTTATTAGTAACTTTGAGTTAGTTTCTTCAGAACAACTTGAAAATCACACAGAAAGAAGGAGAACATTATATATATTTATATAGATCTTCTTTCACTTGAAAGTTCTTGTTATGACCTTCCTGTAAACTTCTATTTGATAGTCTGTTATTTTCAGTTACCGCATGAACTTCCTATAGAATAGCTTTTTACGTATATAAAATTTGATTAGCTGAATATTGGTTAGAACATATCTCTGTTTAAATGAAATAACTATGATGACTATCTTTTTGTTGTCTATTGTTCTTTGATCTGTCATACAGAAATGTTGTGTATGCTTCCACTAACGGAACAAATGCAGTGCCTTCAACTTCACTGGTCAGTGACTTGTTTCTTCTTCCTTTCCTTTGCAGTTTCATTCAACATGGGCTATTTTTGCCAGTTTAGAATCTTCTTTCGAAATAGATTTCCTGATAATTTGATAGACATGTTTAAATTTTAGTTTCCATTTTTGTCTACTGCAGAAATGTTTGTACTTCTTCTAAATCTTCTATAGAAAGCATGATTTACTTGATATTATATTTTCTTAATAAATTTACAAGGATGTAAGGGAACTTATGGTACTTCCTAGTCTTGATAGAACTGTACTTATTTAGTGAGGGCAACTCAAATATTCTTTTCTTTTTTTTTTCTTCTTTTTTTGTTGGTTTCTGCTGTAATGGGCCTGAGATTGATTTTCCGTATTAAATGACTTAAAGATGTTGAAATAATATGTGGTGTCCATTTTCCAGTCTAGTGAATTTCTAGAAATTTGGTAGGAACTGCAGTCATGAAGAACAGTGCTTTGTAATTTGGGCATACAGTGTTTACCAGTTCTCATACAAGGTTAATTGACAACAGCAAAGATGATTTGTTGGGGTTCCTCCGATACAAGGTGGTTTGGCAGGGATCTTTGAATATACAGCATTTTGATTGTCCTGCCTTCCTGGTAGATCCTATTGCAATGAGGACCATATGGGTTCTGGGAGGCAGAAGAAAGTTAATTTTTCAGTTGCAAGAAAGCTGACTTAAGATATGGTTTACAGCCAAAAAAGAGATTTCTTGTGGGAATAGAGAAAAGTTTTAGTATATTGCTGCTTCAATAAAATTTTCAACTCATCATGCCTAGTTTGTTTTGTTATTTCTTGTTTTTGTGGTTTGGGCTCCTAAATATGACAATAAAACTTCTACATATATGAGATAATTATCTTTGATTGTCAAGAACTTGTTAAAGTAATTGTGGATTTACAATATGCTGTTGTTTACCTGCCATTGATATAGAATTTGTTCTTGTAGCTATTTGTTTCCAAAACTTTCTGGAAAGTAATTTTGGACCTATCATGAATAAGAGTGTTTCTTATGTTGGGACATGGTTAACAACACTCAGTTAAAGACTATGTCATACATATATGTATTTATGTTCTAGCACATATTTACAGCAAATCCTTGGTTCCTTGTATATGGAAGTCTTTTTCTTTCTGTACTGTGTAAACATGTTTCGGTGCCCAGAGAGTATGCACGTACATAGGTATAGGTAGATCTATCATACATAAATATATTTATGATATCTGCCTAAATGAAATATACAAATAAATACCAACAAACACACATAATACGATACACGAAGCTGTCTGATTTTCAGAGGTTTTAATTGGTTGATATATACGTGTGTGTGTGCGTATGTGCATATATATATATTCTTTGATGTATATTGTCATATGTAGCTACTGGTAGAGTCAAATGGTTTTAGCTATACTAAATATCTTCATCACTAATAAATCCCTTGATTGCAGGAACCTGAACAAGATTCAGATTACATTCCAATGCCCATAGTTTTGATTGATCAGGATTCAGATTCTGAAGCAACAATTGTGCAGATCAGTTTTGGAGATCGTCTTGGAGCTCTAATTGACACGGTTAGGAAGCTTTGCAATCCATTGTTATTTCTATTCCCCAGAGCTAAAATAAGTAATAACAGATTTGCAAGTAGTAGATACATCATAAGTTGGAAGCCTTTTCGAAATCCCAAGTTCACATCCTTCTCCTTCTGGAGGGTGTTGAACTTGCGATCATGTCTGTTTAAAAGGACTATGATCTACTTATCCTTAAAGGCACAATGAGAATGATGTTAATTTTCTATATTCTTGCACATGAAAGATTTCCATTATGATCTTCATTGTGGAAAATAGATGTCAGCTCTAGCTAAATGCTGCCCTATGCCTCACTTTCTCTAATATTTAATGGATTTAGTTTTCTTTTAGTTTTTTTAATTAGATTTATGTTAACTTTCTTTTCTATGCAGTAATTTTGTTTTTAGAAGAAAAAACCAAATATGAATGGTCATGAAGGATTGCAGCCCGAGTACAAGAAAAGATATTTACAAAGCTCGGAGTCCAATAAACCTACAAAATCCAAGGACCTGTCTTTGAGCAAAATATAGAAATTAAGAAAATTTGTCTGCTACTTGCCTCAACATGGTTTCTTGAATTGCATTACCTATTGATGGTCCTAATTTTTTGGGTGAAAATTTGTCCTCGGGTAGAATTTGCGGGTTCTATGAATTAGGTTAAAATTTCATGATTCTTAGCCTGCTTCTATTTGTAGCTATTTTGAGATGACAGAGATTACATTGATTACATTATGTTAAAAAATTTGTGTGTCAAATTATCTTTCTGAGTTTCTGGTCTTAGAAAAGGTTATTATATTGGAGTGGCCTTGATGAAAGCAATTTCAACTGATTTTGGCTGTTTAGGCTCCATTTTGTAAAGTTCTTTTGTTGTGTTTCAAAAAAAGAAGTTTTTCTTTCAAGGCACAATGTTGCTTTTTAGTGAATTTGTGCTTGGTGGTTTTCTTTTGAATTGCTATTTCCCAAATATTTGAATTTGGAACAACAAATTGGTTGCTTGGAGGAAGCAATTACATGGTTGCTTTTTCAAAGCAGCAAAATTTGCTTCCTGGGGGTGAGATTTAATAACTTGCTAAATATATAGATACTTTCAAAAAAATTAATATGGAATGTGTGTCTAACTTCTAAAGAAAAAGAAAAAACTTCTAAAGAAATAAAAAATCTTCTGAAGTAAATATTACCGAATACAAGTTTTTGGGAGTAATTTACCAAACACTATGATTACTTTTGGCAACAACAAACTTTTAATTACAGCAACTAGAAGCAAGCTTTTCGAAAAGAAGTTTTTTCTTGCAACACAAGCAAACAAACCTTAGTAAAATTGAGACTAGTTCCATTATTCAACTTGCCTTACTTTTGTGTTTGTACAGATGAGGGCATTGAAAGATTTGGAATTGGATGTTGCAAAGGGAACTGTTTCTACAGAAGGACCTGTCAAACAAACAAAATTTTTCATTACAAGATTGTGAGAATTTCCTTTGACTCTTTCCTCTCGCCTCTTCTTCTTTGTTGACTAGATTTTCTGGAATCTATGGATTCTAGATTCTCCATTCATTGGTTGTTTAAGATGAGTTGTTTCCTTGGTTCCCTCAGGTTATTAGTCTTCTCGAAAAGATGAGTTGCTTCTTTTTCTTGGTTTTTTGCTTGTAGTCACTCCCAACTTTCTTGTTGACTTGTTCTCATCAGTGGTCATAGTTCTAGAACTAAAGACCGGTATATGAAAAAACAGTCTTGATTGAGATGGGGGATCACAAAACCTAATAATTACTCGTGTTCTTTATTATGGTCCTATTTTAGGATCTTGTTGTGGGATTGGAATTGAGAAAGTAGAAAGAGAATTTGCAGAATATTTATTTATTTATTTTAAAAAGAGAATTTGCAGAATATGATTGCTGCAACTTCTTTTGTTTCTGCCTGATGTTAACTAAACTGACTTGGGTTTGTTAAGAGAGAATCCAAGGATTGACTGATAAAAGTACTTAAAAATCTTTCTCGAATTATTCTCTGCCTCTCATTTTATTCTTAGGTTAAATAACAGTAGGTTAGAGGATACTTAGGTAGGAATAGCTGCCAACACAAACGTAAGAATTGCTCCAAGAACACTAGAAAGAAATGAACCTAACTGAATATTTGAATTTAATGCTAAAACTGAAGATGAACTGATAAAAAACTCTACAGATAACTGAATCTTCCATCTGGTGCTCTGTCCTGATTACAGTTTAAAATACTAAAAGTCCAGCATTTTTAAGAGGATAATGGGAGTACTGGCTGCTATTTTATTTTATTAGAGCCCATAAAACTTCTACTTCATTTGCACCATTGCATTATATAATTTTTAAGATTATTAATAGAGACAAAAGAAGAGAAAGATACAAATCTAGAGGATAAGGCATCCTCCAAAGCATCCAATAATAAGAAGGGAGAAAATCCGAAGCAGAAAAGTAAATCTAAAGCTGCAACCCAGTATCTCTGTAACGAAGTCGAAGAAAAGTCTCTAAAATAGCATAGATACCAATAGTTAACCAAGATTCTACACCTCCTGATTAGCTTTTGCAGGGTAAGAATACATTTTTTGAAAGCTTCCCAAGCAAAGAAAGACACCCAAGGCAGTGCCTTGACCTTCCAGATGAGTCTGGCAGGCAGACCCAAATTGTTTTCACTCTTCTTGCTCAGGTGAATATGCAAGGACTTCATTGTGAACATCCTTTTTTGGTTGAGTTTCTAGATTGATTGATCTTTGTCTTCATTAAGGATACATTTGGCCAGGGACACCAGAAGAGATTCATATTTGTTGACCTCCTAATCATTAAATTTCCTAGAGGTCTTCACATTTTTTTTTGAAATAAAACGTATGATTTAATTCATTAATTGACAAGCACCAAGGAGGTGCCAACCTATATTCAAAAAAGTATTCACATACCATTAAAATATCAGTGAGGTCCCTAAAATCCTCCATTGAATAAAAAGGATGGCCAATAACCAAAACGCCCAAAGTTTGGAACCATCTATCTTTAACTCTACCAAAAACATCTATTTCTAATCCTAGAGGTCTCTAAATGCCAATAGCTATTCCCCTGGATACATGAAAGGTCTCTCATACAGTGGCCTCTTATAGTCGAGCAAGGGCAAAGATCTATGTGAACTGATCTCAAAGCATCTCACCATCAAGCCACCATCATGCCACAACTTAGAATCTTTTCCACATGCAAATCTTTTTCCACAGAGAAAACCATGCAACTTAGAATTACTCCTTGTAACAAATCCAAACCATCTGTGCCAAATTTAGCCCTAATGTTTCTTCCCCACAAGCTGTCACGTTCCAGCATGAATCTCCATAATCATTTCCCTTGGAATACCTTTTTTTTTTTTGAAAGAAAAAGTATTGAAACTATATTAATATAGTACCAAAAAAAGGGTACCACTCATTTACAAGAGATTTATAAATTAGTTAGTATATCAAGGACATCCCCAAAATCCTCAGTCTTGATGTCATGACCTAGTACAAGAGAGCCAAAATAATTGAACCATCTCTCTCTTAACATGTTTATATTATTCACAACTCCCTCAAAAGCTCTCAAGTTCCTCTCTTTTTATACAATCCAAAAAATGGATAGAGGGATAAGTTCTGCAATTTCTGCTTTTAATCCAACACCCTCCTAAGCCCGTATTTCATCCTCAATCGACCCAGCAGGGACCCAACAAATGTGAAGCAGACCATATACCAAACTCCACAACTCAGAAGCAAGAGGACATCTAAGCAAAAGGTGGCGGCAGTTTTCCTCAACCCTAAGACACATGAAACATCCATTTGCAAGTGTAATACCCATCAGTTTATCCAAGGTTAGTATCTCCCAGGCGAAGAATGCCATTCTAGGTGGTGCAGAATTTTTCCAAATTGCTTTACTTGGAAAACACGACGAGTTATTCAGCTTGTACCCTATTAACATGCGGTAGTAAGAGCCAACAGAAAATTCGCCATTTTTACTCTCCCTCCACTGCACCTGATCTGGGTCATTACCCATTTGAAATTCAGAAATTTTCTCCAATAAATTTTCATACTCCTCCACTTCCTAGTCATTCAAATTTCTGTTCACATTGATATTCCAAACACATCTATTACATTCCCACGAATAAGCCTCTTCCACCATCATTTCTTTGGCTTGTGCAATCGCGTAAATTCTAGGGTAACACTACTTTAAACAGCCTCCTTCTAACCAAGAGTCATGCCAAAATCTAGTGCCATTCCCTCTTCCCACTTTCCAAATCAGGTTCTTCTCAAAACCAGACCAACCCATCTTGATTTTCTTCCATAGACCCAGTCCATGTCCTTTCCTGTCCACCCTGCCCTCATCCGTGAGAGCACAATTCTGCCACCTAGCCATAATCACCCTTCTCCACATTTTTCCTTCTTGTCTCAAGAATCTCCACAGTCATTTTCCTTGCAGAGCTTTGTTGAAACCAACCAGTGATCGAATTCCCAATCCACCCGCATGAATCAGTTTCTTCACATCTTCCCACTTAACAAGATGAAACTTCTTGCTTCCCTCTCCATCGTCCCACAGGAATCGACATTGGATGGATTCCAGCCTTTTTGCAATATTAACCGGGATAGTCAAAGTTGTGAGAAAGTAAACGGGTAAATTTGCCAAGGTGTTCCTTATTAAAGTGAGTATTCTCCCTTTAGACAAGAAAGTCCTCTTCCATCCTGTCAGTCTAGATTCGAACAATTCTATCACCGGTTCCCAAGTTTTCTTCTCCTTGTACTTAGCCTCCAGTGGGACCCCAGGTACTTGATAGGGAGGTTTGCAGTTTTACACCCCAGCACCCTTGCAAGAGAGCTAACATCACCCTTGTCGACAAGATTGACAAGTTCAAATTTATCAAGATTAATGTTGAGACCCGAGACGCCTTGGAAGCATAGAAAGATGCATTTGAAATGCAGGAGAAACGTTTTTCTGGATGGCAAAATAGCAAGGTGTCATCAGCCAAGAATAAATGAGAAACTTCCATCATCCCTTCACCACTGCCAATCTCCACACCTCTAAGGAGCTGAAGCTGTTTCACTCTAATTAACAAAACATTTAACGCCTCCATAACAACGATGAATAACAATGGGGACAATGGGGATAATGGGTTCCCTTGTCTCAAACCCCTGGACCCTGAAAAAAATTTGGAAGGTCTCCGTTTATTAGAACAGCAAATGAAGTAGTTCTCATGCAAGTGCTCATCCATCCTCTCCATTTGTCTCCAAACCCCATCCTACGCAGCAAGTAATCCACAAAGTTCCAGCTCACGTGATCATACGCCTTCTCTATGTCCAGCTTACAAGTCCTTTTTTGTTCATCGAAATATTATCAACAATTTCACTGGCCACGAGGACAACATCTTGTATTTGCCTTTCGGTTACAAAGGCGTGTTGGCATTCATCAATAACTTCACTCATAACTTTAGAAACTCTATGAGCCGACACCTTTGCAATGATCTTATATATGCACCCCACAAACTTATAGGTCTGAATTCTCAAATATTTTTCCTCTATTTCTTCTTTGCAATCAGCACCAAAAAGTTAGAATTCAACGCTCTAACAAACTTCCCAGTTGTGTGGAACTCGTGAAAAACATCCATAACATCCCTATTTAAAACATATCAGAAGGTTTTAATGAAGTTCAAGTTGAAACCATCTGGCTCCAGAGCTTTATCTCTGTCACACGATTTCAGTGCAACAAAAACTTGATCCTCTGAAAATCTGTCCTCCAAAAACTGTCTACTACTTCCCCCAATTTTCTTAAAATACGTCCCATCCAGCTGCGGTCTAATAGGGAACTCTTCCTCATACAGCCCCATAAAAGGTGATCTAGCAGCCCCTCTCATGCTTTCATTATCTCTGTGTTTAACCCCATCCACCCACATCTCCTCAACATAATTACATCTTCTGTGATGGCTTGCCAAGGAGTGGAAATATCTAGAGTTTCTATCTCCTTCTTTCAACCATCTCTCCCAAGATTTCTGTTTCCACACGAGTTCATCTAATTTCGCTTTCTGGCCAGCATCAATTTTATTTCGTCTCTTCGGGCAAGTTCATCAGACTGCAACCCCAACCTACCATCCTTAAGATCTAAATCCCCCAATTCAGCAAGTAGTAAGTGCATCTTTTCCCCTTCCCTCCGAATCTCCTCTTTCGCTCATGTTTTGATGTCATCCTTCAAAAACTTTAACTTGCATGCCACTTTGTAACTTGCCGTGCCCTCTACCTAATAGTTGCTCCAACTAACTTCCACTAGCTGTCGAAATTTGTCATTACGTAGCCAACGATTGTCTTAGCGGAACAAAGTGGCCCTCAATGAATACCCTAAGAAGATCTTAAGCTTAGCCCGCTACCCCCATGTAGGATCAGTTGTTTGACCTTATCCTAAGCCACCAAACAAATATTTTCTCTTTTCATTTGAATTAACCTATAAAGAATCTGAATTGAATAGACTCCAATCTTATGGCAAGACTAACTAGTATTGTCAGTAATGACATATAATAATAGGGATATTTATCTCAATACTTTTAATTAGAGTTATACTATTCCCTTTCGATAAAAGATTCATTTTCCATCCAGATAAACAATACTCAAATTTTACCATAATCGGTTCCTATCTAGAAAATTTTCTAGTACTTTTCCCCAGGGGCATCCCTAAGTACTTTATAGGTAGTTGGCAGATCTGTGTCCAAGATTCTAGCCAACAATTAGTTTTCACCCACATCCGTCAAACTCACCAATTTAGACTTGGTAAAATTGATATTGACACCAAACACCACCTGGAAACTTAATCGGATACACCTAATGTTGAGAATAGCTTTCACATCCAGTTCACAATAGTAATGTGCTGTTAGCAAAGAATAAATCTGTTATTTCTTTAACTCTCTCTCTGTCCTCCACATTTATTTTCCCTGAACATTCACAAATCCTTACCCTTAGGATTACCTTATTTAACGATTCATAAATATGATAAAAAGAAAAATGGATAGTAGGTCTCACTGTCTTAGGCCTTTAGAAGCTTTAAAGAAAGAAGATGGACTTCCATTCATCAAAATAGCAAACAAAGCCGAATTAATACAGGACATAATCCCCTTGCACCATCTATTCTCAAAACCAATATTGAGCAACATATATCTCATAAAGTTCCAATTCACATAATCATATGCTTTTTCCATGTTGAGCTTGTGCATGATACCTTTCTTTTTTTTGGAGACTAGGTCGTCCACCACCTCATTTGCAATTAAAGCTGCATCCATGATCTATCTTCCCCTATCAAAGACATGTTGACTCACACCATTACCTTCACCACCACTTTAGCCATTCTTCTAGTTACGACTTTTGCAAGTAGCTTATAAACACAACCTACAAGACTAATTGACTCGAAGTCTTTGACATTGGTGACCTCGTTAATCTCAGGGATAAGGACTGGAAAAATAGAATTCAGATATTTTGACAAAGGAACCTATTTCATGAAATTCTTTGAACATATTAATGATGTCTTTCTTGACCTCACCCCAAAATATTTGCAGGAATGACCAAATTCTTTATTTTATTTATGTTGCATATTAAAAGGAAAATATAATGCTTTTGGGACAGAATGATCCAATTCTTTTTCGCTGGATTATCGGTTTTGTGGTTGGGGTGTAGATCATTACTTTCTTCCACCTATTCTTTGGGACAAAATGACCTTCTTGGCTTCTTTGTGGGTCAAGGCATTCGGATGCCTTAGAGATTTTTTTTTGAAATAAAAGTGTGAATTTGTATTGAAATAAAAGTGCCAGGGGGCACCGCCCATGTAATGAATTTACATGTTAATTAACATATCAATAATGAAACCAAAATCATCGAGATTATACCCTAAAACAGTAGAGCCAAAATAATGAAATCATCTATTTTTGATAGTGCCAAAATCAACATCTATCCTCTTAAAAATTTGACAGTTTCTTCTTTTCCAAATAACCCAAAAAATAATTAGAGAGGAATGAGTATGAGGGATTTGTTTCAGGTGCCCTAGAGATATCTCTTTATCCTTATCACTAAGGAATTATATCGATTTTTTTCTCTTTATTCTATTCTCCTACTACTCTTTCCAAAAGTTTTTTAGAAGATGTCTAATCCTCTTCACTTGCATTTTTAAAAAAAAATGAAAAGGACAAAATATTATTGAATCATAGCATTAAGGGGGTGCCGTTCATGTACAAATTATTTACAAGTCAGTTAATATGTTAATAATCAACATTAGAGATAATGGGGTGCTCCAACACCGAAAGTTCCAACACCTGTAAGCATTGATCTTTGACTCTAAAGAAATCCTCTTCCTTCATCTCAAAAGTTTTTTTGTTCATCTCATTCCACACAATCCATAACATTGTAAGAGGAATGAGGTCTACATGCTTTCTCCCATTGCTAATACCTTTCCAGGCCCACAATTCTTCTTTAACTGATCCGGCTATTGCCCAGTTAATTCCTAATAAACCATAGGCCATGATCCATAATTCATATGCAAGTGGACACGACAGCATTATATACACGATTTAGCCCCCTTTTTACACAGAAAACACCTGTTAACCAAGAGTTTACCCCTTCTCGTCAGTTTTTCAATTGTCGGAATACACCCTTGACCTGCTTCCCATAAAAAGCCACTCTTTGGAGAGCATTAACCTTCTATTTTTGCTTAACTGGAAATTGGGTCTGTTCCACTTCATTCTCTACCAGGTAGTTGTAATAAGATTTGACTGTGAATATAGCCACTCTTCACTTGCATTCTTCTCCTCTTTTCTCTAATCATACATCTTTTTCTATATTAAGGGAAAGATTGACTAACCAACATCATATCTTATTTGCATAACTTAATAGTACATTATAAAATAAACTTGATAAGTCATTTACATTATCAAAGTTCATCGTTTCGGGGTTGATAACTGTAATTAGATATGGCTGGAGTATCATTTAAGTACTTTTTGCTACAACAAGGGAATATTGTATCTGCACAAATGAATCAATAATTCAAAGATTATGTGCTAGTGCTAGTACTACAACCAGTCATTTGTGACCCATTCTGAATATGAAAAATTTAGAGGAAACTGACAAAATACCCAAAATTGAAGGTGTAGCCTAATGATCAAATGTTGAACTATAACTTGCACACCAGATATTAATCGTTTGAAGCAACATGGGTTGAAAAGGTATGGATACCTTTTGCGTATGAAAATGTTTTCTAGTTTTATTGTTTTTTTATGTAGTTGATGAGAAAATGATAATAAAAATGATGATGAAGTTTGTTGAAAATATTGTTTTTAGTTTTTAAGAATTTTTTTTCTATTTGTGCTTGATTAATATACAAACACACTCTTACATACTTTCATTATTAAAGAGATGGATAAACACATAAATTTAGAGCTGTAAATTAAAAAATATTTGGGGTACCAACAGAAGCATAATTGTTCTATCATTCTCTTTTTCCAAGCTTTTCTTGGACTCCAAAAATAATATGTTTGATTGCTTTCCCATCAATGTAGGATATATGATACAACCCCATTAGATATTTAAATAATCCTCTATTTTCTAGGTCTACATGCTTAATGCATTTTACTTCTGCCTGATGTTTTGGTACAATTATTTGATGTTGTTTGCCTTATTTCAAAATTTTAGCACTCAAGAATTCACTTTTATTATTGCAGAGATAGTGGTCGTAAAGTTGAAGATCCTGATATGTTAGAGAGAATTCGGCTTACAGTAATTAACAATCTTTTGAAATATCACCCAGTATGTGTGCTGACTAAATACTTATCTCTTCTTCCCTCCTTCTCTCCACCTGTCTCTGTCTCTCTGTCTCTCTGTCTCTGTCTGTCTGTGTTTGTCTGGCTGTCTGTCTGTCTGTCTGTCTGTCTCTCTCTCTCTCTCTTATGGTCTTTGACCCCTGGTAAGAGGGTAGG